TTCCTTGTTGGCTTCTGTGTATTTCTCCTGAGCTCTAGCTTTAGCAGCTCTAGTTTTGCTATTGTTTAAGTCTGCCTTTTTACTTTTCCTATCTGCAATCAGTCTCTACTTTTGAATATATATTCCTATCGATGTTTATTTGTGTGTGTGTGAGAAAGAGAGTGGGAGAAAGAGAGACAGACAGACATCATCATTCTCCGTATTTTCATTGTCGTCATCATTCTTATCCCCCATCATCGTCATCTCTATCGTGTGTTTAAGGTCGCGTGTATTCCATCTCAGTATTCCATATTCGTAGTACAGTCGCGTACTCTTCACCAAGTTCACTTGTTGTTTAAGCCCACATGCCATTGTTCGGGACCACGTGTCATTGATCGTGACCACGTGTCATTGATTAAGCCCACATGTCATTGTTCGTGACAACGTGTCATTGTTCGTGACCACGTGTCATTGTTCGGAGCCACATGTCATTGTTTAAGCCCACATGACCACGTGTCATTGATTAAGCCCATATGTCATTAATTAAGCCTACATGTCATTGTTCGTGACCATGTGTCATTGATTAAGCCCACATGTCATTGTTCATGCCCACGTGTCATTTATTAAGCCCACATGTAATTGGTCGTGACCACATTTCGTTGTCTAATCCCACATGTCATTGTTCGGGACCACATGTAATTAGTCGGGACCACCTGTTATTGTTCGGGACCATATGTCACGCTCTTTTTCTTTTGCCCGGTACTCCTCCACCCCTACCGGGGCAGATCCACTGATATGTGCCTCTGTGTCCACGGGTGAAGTCATATCTTCCGTCTTATCAGGCCGGAGTCACTGATGCCCCATTCTGGAGCCATCACTTACAGATTGATCTACCTATCTGTTTTTCCACCTTTCCCTACTCGTACTACACACATTAGATGTTTACTGTTCAACTTGTAATCCTTTGATGTACACAGCCCAACTAGTTAACCCACTTTCTCATAGTAACCCCATACTTGTCAATGTGCAGTACATTTTTATGGACACTTGAATTTATTCACTAATATATTTATTGTTGTTATTCGTAGCTGTAGATTGTTTCTAGTCGCACGCTAACTTTGTACATTTCCATATACCGTGTCTGACTCAAGTGTTTGGAGACATTCATAACATCAGATGGACTATGTGTGACAGAAGTTAAGAACAGAATTGGCCAGGCACGGGCAGCTTTTCAGAGGACGAAAAGTTTCTTATGTAATAAATCATTCTCATTAAACATCCGAAAACGAGTACTGACATGTGATATCGAGCCTGTTCTGTTGTATGGCAGTGAATCTTGGAATGTGAGCAAACAAATTAAGAAGAGTTTGGAGGCAACTGAGATGTGGTTCTTGAGAAAAATGCTGCGAATACCATGGACTGCCAGGATAACTAACAATGATTGCCTGGAAATGGCTGCTGAAAGTAGAACATTATATACAACAGTGAGAAGGACAAATAGAGTTATTTGGTTATGTGTTAAGAAAAGGAGCATTGGAAAATATCGTGACGACTGGAAAGATCACTGGTAGAAAAGACAGAGGCAGACCAAGAGAAATGAAGATGGATGGCTTAAGACAGTGGCATGGGGGAATATCATCTGTGGAATTGATCCAAAGACCTAGATCTGTGGAGATGGACGAACGCCTACGCCAGCTGGCAAGGCACTTGATGATGTTGATGATATCTGACTTACAATTCTACTTTAAAATGTTTAGTATTCACTGAAGTTTATTATCATCAAGTGCCATGACAGCTGGCTTTATGGAACAGGTTACAGATTACTATCGCGTGCTGTAATGTACAGTTACACAGGGTTTATAGGTTGTGCTGTTGTTGGATTCCCATCCGAATAGTGTGTCTTTGAGTCACTGAGTGTTAATTTGTCAGTTAGCAGGCCTAGATGTGCTATTTCTTGTAAAAACGCAAGTTTCACCTCGTGTGTTCACACCCTTAAATGCTATTTCTTTAGGGGGTACCAGTTGATGTGTTGACATCTGTGCATGCTATTTGTTTAAAGCATTTTCCGTGTGGGTTGTCGGGGGTCACTCGTGGAGAAGGGGGTGCTATCATGGTAGCTAGAAGTTCACCTTCTTCTTAGAGTCCGTGCCGTGTGGCATTGGTAGTCATGTCTATCCACAACCTGGAGCTGTGCTATTTGAAAAACTGATGAACAAACAATTAGTCCCCGGACAATCTAACAATATGCGTACGAAGTAAATGCATATGGCCGATCAGAGGCGGCAAAACCAACAATCCGCCACCTTGATGGAAGTAGTCGGGTACGATAATTTCGCTATACGCACTCACCAAACAAGTCTATACCAAACTCACGTTTTCAACCATAATGCATCTTTCTTCTGCTTTGATACTAACCTACATAGAGTCTGCTTTTGTTGCCTTCCTCTGTAATTTTTTCATCAATTTTGCAAGTTTTCACAATGTTATAGATTTTGTCTCTTCTCATAGTATGACTCCAAAATGTTGAGTTACATCTTCATGATGTTTCCAATACATTTCTTGCGCGTGAGACATTTAAATTATTTTTGGTGTTTGCCATATTGTTTTAAATTATTTCTACAACCACATTTCTGTAGTTTCCTAGTATTATTTACTAACTGTCATTTAGTTCCATATATCTCTTGTATTTTAATGTTACATTTTTTCTAACTTTTAATTTCAACGAACTGTTGCATAAAATATTTGTGCGCATCAGGTATACAATGACTGACCTATATATTTTGGAGACCAATCGGTATTCTATGGAGGTTATGTAGGGTGACCACAGTGTCTTAAACTGAAAAACGGAACATTTCACTAATAGTTGGAGCTGAAAACGGGACATTTCACAAATAATTGGACCTGAAAACGGGACATTCCACTAATATTTTGAGCTAAAAATGAGACATCCATATAAGGAGGTTTAACTCACCCTCACTCCCTTTTTTTCTTCTTGGTCACCTGAGTGAAATGGTTAATTACTAGCGGGGTAATGATACTATTGCAGCCCGAACCATTATCGCCAAGAAATCAAAGAAACAATACGAGTCTCAACTGCCATTGAGAAAAAAAAACGTCCGACTTGAGCTATTTAAATTGTAAACACAGAGCGGCCTCTCGAGGTTTCACAAAAACGGGAATTCCCGTCGAGCTGTTGATTTGATTCAAGAACCGACATCACAGCACCTGGGGCATTCCCATAAGCGCTTCGTCTCCATCTTCAGCAGCTAGCGAAGGGTTTCGATACTAATGGTGCCAGTAGCTTTCTGATTAAATGTCCGTCTTGCCTTTCCTCTGAGCCTTGAGCTTCTGTCAGAACCTCTCGTCACCTTCAACTGCATCAATCTCACCAAACTGTGGTGGTCCATCTAATTTTCTAAACACACTAATGTTAAGGTTGGGAGAGCACGCAAGACCTTCCAGTATAAGTGGACCAACAACCTACTTGGACGCCTCAGACGGGGAGCATGCAAAAAAACTGCCAGAACTAATTTTCTACAGCCCCCATGGTGGACTCCAGAAGTAGAAAAGGCATGGAAGGCAAAGAGAGCCGCAGTGAAGCAGCTAAAGAAAGTACGACAGACACCCTCAAGCTCACGAGAGGAAGTGGAGATGGCGGAGAATGTGAAAAGAGATAAGGTGGAGGTTTTCAAGCGCTGTGCTGCAGAGGCCAAAAGAGCAAAGTGGGAAACTTTTGTGAATGACATGGGAGGTGATAAAACATTGGGGAAATTCTGGAAACTGCAAAGGCAGATGCAAAGAAAAGATCGGCCTATGACAGTCGGAACAATTTGTAGAGACGATGGTGTGCGTATGACAACAGACAAGGAGAAAGGGGAGGATTTTCTCCGTAGGTTTATAGCTCAGACAGATCATAATGATGTAGACATCAGGGATGCAGTTAGAAAGGAGTTAGCTGGCACCTTGAAAAATATGCATTATGAAGACATGATACAAGTGGAAGATATCAAACAAATTTTGAAAAAAGCAAAAGACACTGCACCAGGGCCTGATGGTGTCAGGTATGGTCACATGAAGGCTTTGAGCGACGTAGGCCTGGCGGAGACGACCGACCTGTTTTAACCAGAGCATTTAGACAGAATCAGTACCGCAATACTGGGTGCACAGCTTTCTAATCGCACTACCAAAACCTTTTAAAGATCATTCTAAGCTTAGTGGCTTTAGAATCATCACCGTTGAGCTATTTGGACTATTAATAGCCCGAGTCGGCTGTGGGAAAAACATACTTCAGTTAAAAATTTCCATAAATAAATTCCAGGCATTAAAAGTATTTAAACACTATGAAATGTAATAAGGTTTCCAGATAAAAATATGTATGGTTTATTTTCTCGAGCTTATTCCTCGATATTTTTTAAACGGGACAGTTGTATCGACGGGACGGTCACGGTGCTCAAAAACATCTGAACTGTCTCAGCGAAAACAGGAACTTATGGTCACCCTGGTGATGTGGTCAACATCCTCACCGGCCGTCTTTGCTTTCCAAGACATTTCCTGGTTTCCATTATAGGCTGGGTCCACCTGGGAGCTAGGTTCATTTGTTAGCGTATGTGGACCTTTGGGCAGTAGGCAGTAGTCCAGGACGCTATTTCGGCTGACTAAATAACTTGACCATTGTAGTGAACGTAAAACAAAGGATTCTTTCCCAAGTCATCAGACGAATTGAGCATATAGTGCTAGACTTATATTATAAAGACCAATCGGCACTCGTTGGAGTATGTGGTCAGCATCATGCCGGCCACCTTTACTTCCAAGGACTTTACCTGGTGCGCACCCAAGGCTGGGTCGACTTGGAAGTCAAGGCTATTTTTTAAGAAGAAGAAAACAAAAAAAAGTCCAGCTGTGTTCGGATTTGAACCCACAGCCTTCTGATCCGCAGGCGAGCTTCTAGCGACTACCCCACGTCAGCTCCTGGCCATTGCAGTAAACGTAATAACGTATGTTATTTTATTGTTGTGTTTCAGTTATCACAGCCGACAAGGTGGAGAAGGCCAGCATCGCTGCGGGAGTCGTTGTTCTTGTCATCGTCATCACCGTCATTATCGTCTACCTGGTAGTCAGAAAGAGGTACGGTAGTTTTCTGGCTGTGGTCCCATCGCTATCTCTTATATCTGTCTGTCCTTATGCCTGGTTATGTATATCTGTTTGTCTATATTTCTGCCTATATTCCTGTCTGTACGACCGTTTGTGTTCTTGTCTGTCTGTATGCCTATCTGTATTTATGCTTGTCTGTCTAAATTGCTGCCTGTCTGTCTATGCTTCTCAATCTATATGCCTGTTTGTCTATATGTACGTATGTCTGTTTGGTTTGATGGTTTGAACAAGTATCAACATCATGGCATAAGAGAAGCAACCCATAAGTGCTCTGTTCTAATTTTAGAACGAAGAATCTCAGCGCATACATTGCACGAATATTGCACTCCGAATTCATTGCATGAACTCCGAAGCACCGGCGAGGATACTGAAATACTTTGGATAAATTTGTAACTCCAAATTTTGCCCAGACAGCGCCGTTAGCCTACTCTTTTCGATTTCCAACTGCCAAGTGATGTGTTTGCGTGCGCCGCAATGCACACGGGCGTCCGATCTTACTACACAGAGACCGGGGCAAATCTGGAAGTCCATAGGAAAAAATCTCAGCTTTCATGAGGGCCTGAACCCGGGACCTCTAGCATCGAAGCGGATGACATGCCTCTAGCCCACATATGTCTGTATGCCTATTTATCAACGAGTATTTGTCTGTTTGTTAATTAATATTTTATATATATATATATATATATTTATTTATCAATCTTTGAGGGTAAGTCAATAAGTAAGTCGCAAATGGTTATGGGATAGCGGGAAAATGTAGCTGGTGGCTTTTAAAGGTGTCATTAGGTGACTGCAGCATCAAACTTTATGTCTCCGTTCGTTAGGTGGTGCTAGGTGTTGCATGACCATTTGCAACGCAGAACTTAAATGACAAATGTGCTTATGGAGTGTACTCTCAAATAACAACGTGCTGGCTATTTTTTTTTGGAGGAAGGGGGGGGGGGGGGGGGGGGGGGCTGCCTGCAAAGGACATTCGTTATGAAATGCTTCGTGTTTATGCTGATAAATGTTTGTCCCTCAAAGCGATGCATAGCTGGGTTTTTTTTTTTTTTCTCAAGGACGCTCTAAAATTGTTGATGGTCGCCTGTTGAGGTTACAACAGACGCATCCATGCAGCGGGTAGGAGATGATTAGTGGTGACAGGCGACTAATGGTTGACTCTGTAGCAGCTGCAATAGGGGTGATCACATAGTTCAGCATACAACCTAATGCATGATCGATTGAAATTCAAGAAAGTGTGCTCAAGATGGGTACCAGACAATTGACGGATAAATACAAAATGTGGTTTAAAAAACAGAGCACGCAGCTGTATGCATCAGGTTTGGGAGGGCTATTAAAACTATGGGACAAGTGCATCAGTGTTGGGGGAAATTATGTAAAAAATAAAGGGACAGTGTATGTGTAAAAATAAATGATTTTCAAGTTGTTATCATCTTTAATGTGTTTTTTTTTAAACAAACATTTGTGACTTGCTAATTGACTTCTCCTGGAATGTATAGGAAGAGACGCTTTGTTAGGCAAAGCTGAGTAGTTTAATCTGTTTAAATATTTCAGTAACAGAGGAACTAAAATACAATCCATTGTTTTTTATACTTTGGTTTCAGGAAACAGCGGAAAAACAGAACTCAGTCTAATGGAAATGCAAACGGACACGCGGGCAAAGCTTTAATGGAGCCCGAAAAGGAGGTACGTAAGATTTTGTTTTTTCAGCTGAGTTGTTTAGTGGAGCTGAGTTGAACTGAGTACCACTATCACATCACTCAGGACATTCTTGTAAGTGTCCAGACTTTTCTTCAGCTACTGGTGCAGAGTTCCAGTCCAGATGGTACTGATAGCCAGTGGTATAGGAAGGTGTGTGGGAGCAGCATGTGGTGTCATCACTGAGGGGGTGTCACTGAGGAGGTACCCAGATATATATATCCCCTGTGTGGGTTCCGGAGCCCCATTGTGGGGAAAACAAGATAAGCATGTCGTAAGAGATAATTGGGGAGCTTCCTTTGAAGTCGGAGTGCATCTGCCTGAGAGGCAAGGAACCAACAGTCTGTATTCCAGTGAATCAGATCTGTAAAACTGATGCACTTAGGTTCTGGAGCAGGACTGCAGTTGAGAAGTAGACCAGCAACAAAAACTTTCTGCCAGAGTTTACAGCTGGTGAACGCAAAGAAGAAGAAGAAGAATATATGCATATATATATTGTGTGTGTATTTATGTATACTATGCCCGGTAGCATAAAACGAAAGTCTATGTCTCCTACCACCAAGATCCGAATATATAACATGCTAATAAGACTAATTGATTTAAGCCTTAATCTTAGTCGAGGTTTTAACTTCACTACAATGGGGTTTCCCTATACTCGCTTTGTTTCTGTGCCAGTAAAAATTAAATGCATTTTCCCCCATTGTCGCATTTGAAAAACTAGTGAATGAACAATTAGTCCTGACAGAATCCAGAAATATGCGCATACAGTAATTGTTTTCTGTAGCTCTAAAACTTGGAGCACAAGTTAATGAAATGAAGCTGTCATATATTTTTGAAAAGAAAAAAGTGTTGGACCATTCAAAGATGCAAAAAGTGGGAAAAGGGAGTGAGAAGCAACAGAAAAATTCATATTCTGTTTAAATCACCACTAATCACTGGCATCATGAGGGCTAATAGACTGAAATAGCTGGGGCATGTTGAGTAAATATCATATGTCGGAAAGGTAATAACTTTGTACACAAGGGAGCTGAATGGTCATCGACCACGAGGCAGACCGAGAAGATTGTAGAGAGATAATATACAGGCAGACCTGCTAACACTTAAAGTCAGGAATTGGAAAGAGATGGGTGATCACAGACATGAACCAAGGTGGGTGATATCTGCAGCAATGAAACCTCAAGGGCTTGGAATTCTGAAGAAGAAGAAGAAGAAGAAGAAGAAGAAGAAGAAGAAGAACAAGAAGAAGAAGAAGAAGAAGAAGAAAAGAACAAGAGGGAGAAGAAGAAGAAAAAGAAGAAGAGGAAGAAAAATAAGAACAAGAGGAAAAAGAAGAAGAAAAAGAAGAACAGATGAGGAAAAAGAAGAAGAACAGCTGAGGAAAAAGAAGAAGAAGAAGAACAGATGAGGAAAAAGAAGAAGAAAAGGAGGAGGAGTAGAAGAAGAAGAAATGAGTGTGTCTAGGAGGAAAGGGAGGAAGGGGGTGGAGAATTATAGGAAATGTTCCGCACTGGTAAGCACTCGACCATACTACGCCACTGTCAGTAGCGATCCAAATCTGTGTTCGTCTTGTCTTTCCTCTGAGTGGGGAGTGTCAGCCAGAACTCATGGTCACTCCTGCTTCTTTTTTCATGATTAGCATTAGCATTTTTGTTGTTGCTGTTATCCATCCCCTAATGTCATTGCTTCTTTTTACAGTGGTACTATTATCTGCTGTCCTCGTTGTCCCTGGGAACCATGGTAGCATAGTGGCTAGCCACTCATCTGCTGGCCTGAGTGTCTTGGGTTCAAATCGGCATCGAATGTTGTTATTGTTTTTTCTTCCCTTCAGAACTGACCTAGGCTCCCAGGTAGAAGGAGCCTCAAATGGATGCCAGGTAATATTTTGGAAAGTAAAGGCGACCGGTGTGATAGTGACCACATCACCCAAGGAATAACGATTGCCTATCAAAAATCAGAGTTCTAGGTCCTTGTTGCCACCAACATAATATGGTCATACGGTCCCCAGTAACATAGGGGTATTTTCTTATTCTTCTTCTTCTACGTTCTTCTTGGCATTCACCTGCTGTAATTTCTGGCCTAAAGTTTTGGCTGTTCATGTACTTTTGGACTAAGGTCTTGTTCCAGAATTTGAGCTCTGTGTGCACATCCATTATACACATTTGGTTCATTTGTATGCAGACTGTTGGTTCCTTGCCTCGCAAGCAGATGCACTTTAACTTCAAAGGAAACAACCCTAATTAGTAGTCCTTTACGATTTGCTTGTTAGAGGGCAGTGGGAAAAGGGGTGGATAGTTGTTTTGTTTTTTTAATTTGATTCAATGAATCCTTTTTTATGCTATTTTCTTCTGTAAGTGGTAATCAATACATATAAATATAGTGCCCATGCTGTTTTAACTGCCTCAAGGATTCCCCAGCAACTGGTAACTAATACTCTCTTATATCACAGCCCATGCTGTTTTAACTGCCTCAAGGATCCCCCAGCAACTGGTAACTAATACTCTCCTATATCTCAGCCCATGCTGTTTTAACTACCTCAAGGATCCCCCAGCAACTGGTAACTAATACTCTCTTATATCTCAGCCCATGGACAGCGAAGACACAGAGAAATGTACAGATGTATGACCCAAGTCTTACAGTAGATCTGCTTCCGGATGTGTTGTGGCCACAGACTCACACCTGTGATCCAAGGATTACTACGTCTGTACAGTCCGAGTTGATGTCTTCATCATTGTCATGTCCTTATTCTGGTTGAAGTATTGCTACTGCATAATCCAAAGAAGAAACCACTCTTGTATTCATACCAAATGAACATTAAAGAAATCAGGATGACAAGTGAAAGGACTTCAGAAATAACAGTTCATCATTTCTGTTGTAGAATTGGGAATGCAGTTCTTGTTTTCTATGCAAAGATTATATTCATACTATTTATGAATGCAAATTATGGGTTTCAAATAGTCATTTGATTAATTTTGTTTTGTTTTTAATTTAATCCATGGACACAAAGTATGTACTCTAATTCTTTAATGCAGCAGAGAAGAAGAAAAAGAGATGGGAGTTATTTTAAGCTAAATGGAAATTTCCTTTGTTTCTTAGTCTCTTCTCATGTCTACTGTTGTCACAATAGTGACTAGACACAAATTTGCTTTTTAAAGTCTCAATAATTTTCACATGTATTGATTTGCACTCATATGAGTAGAAAAAGGACACAAGATTAAAGACAGTATAAAAATGTAAGGGCCTAATGACCACACTTAGATTCATCTTCTTCTCACTGTTCACCAGCTGAAAGTTCTAGTAGAAAATCTGGATTCTTCAAATTCTGGACGTTGGCCGTGTTCCACAACTTGCATATTGCATGCACATCCATAGATTGTTAGTTTCTCTGTTACGCGAATGCACTCTAACTTTAAAAGAAACATCCTTGTAGGGAAGATGTTTCTGGGATGACCACGTAGAAGTGTAGGCAGGTATAGACCAGTGTGAGCCCTGGTCTTACTGTACTACCAGATGTATTTCAACACCTCTGTATTCCCACCAAGATTCAAATCTGTGCTTCCCTTTTTTTCATCTTGTCTGGCATTTTCTCCAGGTCATGCTGGTGTGTTTCATATTCAAGTAGTCCCTTATATCATGTACCCATCTTCGTGGTGGTCAGCCCCTGCCCCTCCTTCCTGGTACCGTGCCTTCTACTATTATTTTTTTCAAATCCCCCATGGCGTTTGGTGTGACCAAAATATTTCAGCTTCTGAGACAAGATGCTGTTTAGAAGCCAATCTTCGCTGATGTTGAGATCTTTAAAAATGTCAGTATTTCTTCTCTTCTATGTCCATGGTATTCTGTGAATCTTTCTATAGCATTTCAGCTCAAAAGCCCCTGTTTCTTTCTTAAGGACTGGGTCCAGTGTGTGTTCAATAAATAAAGAGATGTCAATTGCAGTCAGATTGGTCTGTAAAACTATGGATGCTCTTCCCGATGCCTGTGCACCTAAAAGGGTGAAACTGTATCTTTTATTCTATACCCTGCCTATTGTTTCTTTAAAGGTAATAAATACCATGTTAAAGGTTGAGTTTAGATACATAATGTCCATTTTTAGTTTGGATAATCGATTCCCGCTGTCAGAGCATGCAATTATAGTATTATAATCATGCTCTCAGATTTCTCAAATCATTGTGTGGTGTCACATTTTTGTTACTTCATTCCGATATTAGGGGAGAAAACATTTAAACAAAGTTCAACCTGCTGCGTGCTACTCCATATATAGGTGAGAGTTATTTCATCCTGCTGTTTCCAGTGTTACAATTACCGCTTTCAGTCAGCTGACAATAAAATCTTGACTGATACCAAGTTACAGGGACACAGAAATGTGACAATAGCATTTACAGAAGACTGATACCAAGTTACAGGGACACAGAAATGTGACAATAGCATTTACAGATGACTGATACCAAGTTACAGGGACACAGAAATGTGACAATAGCATTTACAGATGACTGATACCAAGTTACAGGGACACAGAAATGTGACAATAGCATTTACAGATGACTGATACCAAGTTACAGGGACACAGAAATGTGACAATAGCATTTACAGATGACTGATACCAAGTTACAGGGACACAGAAATGTGACAATAGCATTTACAGATGACTGATACCAAGTTACAGGGACACAGAAATGTGACAATAGCATTTACAGATGACTGATACCAAGTTACAGGGACACAGAAATGTGACAATAGCATTTACAGATGACTGATACCAAGTTACAGGGACACAGAAATGTGACAATAGCATTTACAGAAGACTGATACCAAGTTACAGGGACACAGAAATGTGACAATAGCATTTACAGATGACTGATACCAAGTTACAGGGACACAGAAATGTGACAATAGCATTTACAGATGACTGATACCAAGTTACAGGGACACAGAAATGTGACAATAGCATTTACAGATGACTGATACCAAGTTACAGGGACACAGAAATGTGACAATAGCATTTACAGAAGACTTGAGGAAGAGATTCAAATCTTACTGGAAGACTTGAGGAAGAGATTCTAATCTTATTGGAAGACTTGAGGAAGAGATTCTAATCTTATTGGAAGACTTGAGGAAGAGATTCTAATCTTATTGGAAGACTTGAGGAAGAGATTCAAATCTTACTGGAAGACTTGAGGAAGAGATTCAAATCTTACTGGAAGACTTGAGGAAGAGATTCTAATCTTATTGGAAAACTTGAGGAAGAGATTCTAATCTTATTGGAAGACTTGAGGAAGAGATTCAAATCTTATTGGAAGACTTGAAGAAGAGATTCAAATCTTATTTCCTTCTTACCAGGAAATAGAAATGTTAAGAGAGAATTTATCTTTTTCATCACCAAGAAATGTATCATGGGTTTGTGAGTTTCTATTTGTGCGATATTTTTCTTCATTCCTTGTATCCCATCCAACTGTTACATTAACTTACTTGGCTCCGATAGTTACTTTGTAGATGTTATAATTTTAACACATTGAGGTCCTAATTTTTTTAAGTTCAAATAAAAAAAATGTTTATGATAGAACTAGTTAAAATAAACCTTTTCGGGGCCAAAAGAGTTAAAAGACACTTTGTGGAACATCCCCGTATGGGTTCAGAGGCTCCATTGTGGGGAGAACAAGAATAGACCCACTGCCTCCCCAACAACCATGTCGAATCAGTCAACTAATTGGGGGCTTCCTTTAAAGTCGGAGCGCATCTGCTCGAGTGGCAAAGAACAACCAACTGCACACAAATAAATCAGTAAAACGGACATACATGCAAAACTCAGGCCCTGGCACAAAGCTAAAATCCAAATCGACGAATAACCAGGACTTTCTGCCGGGACTTAAAGCCGGTGAACAAAGAAGAAGAAGAAGAAGTTGTGTAACAGTGTGACAATATGGCTTTCAGAATTAGGTCAAGTCTTAGAAAATGAGAAAGCATTAAAGAGCAAATTGTGCGGCTGTAAACTGTAGAAAAAAGATATGTTTTCCCCATTGATATAAACTCTCAGGCTGGCCTAGTCTAAAGCTAGTACCAGGAAGTTTTATGGGAAATAAAGGTGGTCAGCATGATCATGAGAACATCTGTCATCAAATGGCAATAAGTATAAAAAAATACAAAGCATGTATCACAAGACCTGCTGGGAAAATATTCTGTAATGGGCACTGGGAATTAAATTGTAGTTATTACTCAGGCTCAACCCTGCCCAAAATAGGTACCAGGTGATTGCCTGGGAAGTCAAGGCGGCTGATGTGAGTTGACAACATCACCCATTCAGTGCTATTGGTCTATTAAAATATGGGTTTAGCACTGTATGTCTGTTGGGAGCTGCCGTGGTGTCGCTGCTCGATGCCTGCCTGCGGATTTGAAGGTCGTGGGTTCAGGTCTTGGCGGAGCTCGACTTGAATTTTTTTTTTCAAAAATGTCCCTCCCAAATTGACCAAGGCTTAAATGGGTACCTGGTATGGTCCTGGGAAGTAAAGGTGGCCAGTTTGACTTTGTCCACATCACCCACCAAGTGCCAATTGGTCTATAAAATATAGGTCTGGCCGTATAGGCCCAATACACCTGAAGGCGTGGTAAAAGGGTTCTTTTGCTATGTGTTCATTGCCCCTAAGGCAGGAGGAACATGTACTTTGTTTTACCTATTTTTACTGATTACAACCTGTAGTTTATGAATAAAGTCTTTGAAATCGTGTCTGAAAGTTAACACCTATACTATTTGTATGTTGTAAGGCTACTGTAAATACAACACGTATTTTTCTCATCATGTTTTTATTATGTGGAGAGAGAGAGAGACAGACATTCACAAGACTATGTGGCGTGAGACATACATTATTTGCTATGTTCTTTGGTGAGGTGTGTGTAATTTTTTTAACATACATATATGTACAGCAGACATCTCCATATGACAAGTGCATGATTGTCTCATTATTGTATAAAATATGTTGTTTGGGGTGTAAGGAAATCGATGAAAATTAGAAAAGATAAGAAATAAGAGGTTTTTCTGGACATGAAGTTGTATCTGTGTCTGGACACCCAGTTGTATCAACAGTTATAAGAGAAAAAAGATGGCGATGTATTGGGCAAATAATTCGAAATGGTGGACAGAGAATCATTCAACAGGCACTGAAATGGGACACAGATGGATTGAGGAAACGAGGTCGCCCAAGAGAAACCCTGAGATGAATGTCGTTAGAGAGAACAAAGATTCAGGTCCGGATTCCAAGCATGTTGTTAAAAGAATTGAGCAGAATAGAACAGCATGGGAGACTCATTAAGTGATGATGATGACGATTGTTATCACTGGGGTCTGTCACATCCCAACTCCTAACACAGATAAGTAATATTGTTTTATATTGTTACCATATATTCTATAGCAGATGAAGTGTTGGAAACTTGGACATGCTGAAGGCACTACTTTGAGTTCCTAATGGGTCATGTATGGTCCGGGAACTTCATTTTCCACATAACTAGCATAAAAGTTTACTGCCATCACACCTGGGCACTCTTAAGTGTCCTAGTCTCCTTTTACAGCTAACACAAGGAGTATCTCGGCACAGTGCACAAACTCGGTACTACTGCCAAGTATAACAGTTAAG